TGTTACAATCAGCAATACCATAGCATCCAGCGCAGCTTAGAAAATGACAATTTGTGGTAGTTATTAATCTATCACATTTAACTATGTGAAGTATAATCCCCTGTGCCTCTGTAGTGAGGGACCAGGTAGCAGACGAGCTGTAAGGCAGGGCGGGGTGGGGGGGGATGGAATTGGGCGTTGCAGGCGCCCGTGTGGCTAAGCGGAGCACCAGATGAAGGCTGTCCTGCTTCCGGGACCTCACCGTGCTGTGGACAGGAACCGGAACACAGCCGAGGAGCCTCGATCCTTCTTATTTTTTAAGTACCAACACATAGTCCTACAGGCAGTGCATGGAATTTCCTTTCTCCACATTCTTGCCAAATTTTATTATAAAACTTTATTATTTGGTTCCGTTTACTATTTAAATTAAAACATCTTAAACTACATTTCTCTGATTTTTTGTGAATTGAGCATCTTTTTAAATTACAGGCAGGTCGTTTTTATTTTGTAAGGTCCTAGCTCAGTGATAGTGAACCTTTTAGAGCTTTTGGTGATAACAAACAGCCTGCAGCAGCATAGGTTTTCCATATATGTGCTATAGGTTTTCCACTATTACACCTTGTTTTTCAGAAATTTTCAGTTTCTTTTTTTTTCTTATTTACAGGCTTACTGAAGATTCTGGAGGGAGGAACACAGCAATGTCAGAAATAACTAAGATAACAGGTGACCTTCAGTGTTGTTTTTTTACAAAGCCAGAGACAGACCTGCTCAGTAGGATGGACGGCAAAGGCTATCTGGTAAAGGGCTGGAAACTCACACAACATTTGTGGGCCTTTTGTGGAAGAGGCTGATGGTTGGTAGATAGCGTTGGAAAGGGCTTTTTTGCTCGTGAGAGACATGTTGTTCCAGGGCAGGGACTCTGGCTACATGACTGGGCTGAAGGCTCTCAAACCAATGAACTCAAAATAGCATTGTGGTGGGCACAGTATAGATTCTGGAGCTAGATTTTCTGTACTTTAATCCCAGTTCTGCTTTTTGACATTTGCGTTATCTGGTAAATTACTTCTTTGTATGCCAGTATCCTCCTCTATAAAATGAGGATAACAGTATTACTGATGATACCACGTTGTTTATGAGGATAAAAATGAATAAGTGCTTAGAATGGGGACTGATACTATACCATAATATATAGTTTTTTTTCAGCTTTCATAATATGAGAGATGTTATGCCAGATGTACTTAATATATGAACTTATTGGGAAATTGACTGTTTTCTAAATTGATGTTTTACTCACGCTGATAGGTAGATTAGAAAATAATTGGTGAACAGAGAAGATTCATTACACTGTTGCCTGCAAGATAATATTTAAATGCTAATTCAATTGATTAGGAAGGAAAATTATTTCACATTAAAAATTAGGAAATATATACAAAAGGTCTGCAGAGAGTCTTCCCTGCAGATTACGTAGGTAATGTAAAGAGCATTATTTTGGAGCATGCAAACTTGGATTTGAATTCCGGTTCTGCTAATTATTAACTGTGTGACCTTGGGCATGTTACTTACTATTTCTGAATCTTAGTTACCTTATTTGTCGATTGGCAAAAATGCTACTAATTTATTTTCTCATAGAGTTACAGCCATGTGTTGTTTAATGATGGTGATCCATTCTGAAAAATGCAGTTAGGTATTTTTTGCCTTTGTGTGAACATCATGGAGTGCACTTATATGAGCTAAGACATCACAATATCACTACATAATAAAAGCTTATGAGACCACTGTTGTGCATGTAGTCCATTTTGGACCAAGACATCATTATGTGCCATATGACTGTAGTCACTGAGTGATAATTTTCTACTTTGAAGTCTCAGAACACCAGAATCAAGGAGATTTTTTTTAATCTATTTTTTTTGGTAATGGAGATCGAATTCAGGACCTTGTACCCAAGTACAAGGTACCATTGAGCTAAATCCCTGGCCCTTTAACCTAAAATTTTAAAGGGTAAATTTTTCAGGTATAAATGGAAAGACCTTTTAGTTTACTTATATATAAGTCTGTATATAGAAAGTTTGAGGAATTTCAGGAAGGACTTAGATAATTATGCTTTTTGGGTTGATCATGCTTGACAATGGCTCCTCTTGTTTCTGATGGGAGCCACAGTTGTACAGTTTTTTTTTTTTTCTTCATGAATGTGGGATTTGTATAGGTCACCAGTTCTCAATCTTCAGATTACAGATGAGAAAACTGAGGCCAGAGAGGGAAGTGATATCATGCTTGTGGTGTCCACTTATGCTAGACACAGAACCAGGACTCAGTATTTCTGGCTCTGGTGGGTTGAAAGGAGCTGAGGTCTCAATGTGGTCTTTCTTAATCTTCAGGGGGAAAGATGGCAGCGCCAAGCATTTTGAGTCACCATCATATAAGGTTATACTTTATTCGTTGAAATTCCTAGCTTAGTGGCTCTGTGAGTTGACTATAGTTTCTGGCTTCATGCTGCCAGCTTCCAGAAATGCCTGGAGGGCACATGTTTGGTTTTCAGGATCTACTGATTCCTAGCTGCCAAGAATACCTAGTGGGACTTATCTAAGGGCCCTGTACCCCTCCTTCATGTGCTGCCTGGTGTTGCATGGTATTTCCCCTTGGCCTTCGTTCTGTCATTCACCTTTTCTTGCCACTGCCCCCTCCCCGAAATGCCTGGTTATAGATTATCCTGCCAACTGTGTGTGTCCACATTGCTCTGGTGTTTGTCCATATTGTGCCACCCTTTTTCAACTACTCCAGTATGCAACTTCAGCTGTGGATGTACAATAAGCAGTATACATTTGTTTATCTTCTGTGCCCCAGAGAAGAGGAGGATTTGATCTGACCAAGGTATTCACTGTGCTGAGAGCCAAAGGAATGGATGCAAGATTTAATAGTGGAATGGATTTCATCCATTTCATCAGGAGTGGGTCAGGCCCTTAAGCAAGCTATTATTTTATGCAAAAAACAGCAGTGAACTAACCTTGAAATAATAGCATAGTGCTCTGTTGGGGATTTCAGCCCCTCTCTTTATACTGCTGTTGTCAGGAATATTTTAGGTAAAATAAACTACCTGTAGTAAAATCTGTAATTAACTTATACAATATTTACATTTTTTTAGAGATGTGCTTTAACTTCATAATAGAGACAGTGATCTTTCCTACAAAGCATAAAGCCTCCATGATCTTGTTTTGACCACAGTGTAATTCTCATAGTTACTATCTTTTTAAAGTTGCAGATCTTATCTAGTCTACATTCTTTAGAGAACCACACCCTATACTTCACAAAACTCCAGTGCTTTAAATTAAAAAGATAAAGGAACTTCTGGATCTTGTTAGGCAAGAGTTTTCTTCAATCCTGAAGGACTGATGGACCTGTGTATGGAAGTAGTATCAATGATATTAAAAAGAATATGTTTTAAAGATTCATACAAATAACATATATTGAAATATCTCAGGTTTATTTTATTCTTTCTTTTCCAAGCTCACCCTATTTGACATAGCTATAAAATGTGGACTTTAGTATTTGTGACCTATGGGCGTTTATAGTTTCTGCTTTCCAGTTGTCAATTCAAGTAATTGGTCAATAAAATATGCATACCCTGTTCTGGAAAATTGTGACCCCTATAAATAGTAAATAATTATGAAAGCACTTTTAAAGTAATAATCCTTGATACCTATATACATATAGCTTCATACATGATTACAAAATTTTCAGTTTGGAGTGCTCATTTTCACCTTAATGCCAAATATGTAGCCAGTCTGAGTTCTTTTTTTTTTTAGATAGGATCTCACTTTGTAATTCATGCTAGGCTTGAACTCACTATGTCACTATGTAGCCCAGGCTGGCCTTGAACTCGAAGCAATTCTCCTGCCTCAGCCTCCTGAGTGCTGGGATTATTATTATTGTGCGCCATCATGGCCAGCTCAATCTGAGCTCCTTAGAGGTGGCTTTTATATTTTATTCACTCCAACTTTAAAAGTCTGGTCCCCAAGAAGTGCTTGATAGAGTGTTTTATTTATAAAATGATTTCTACCTCCCAATTCCTAGTTTGCATTATAGAGCTGAATGCCTCATATGTACCCACAGAAATGATGGTGCTGAGGACATGGGTATCCAAGAACTCTTGAATGTCCTCTTCAAAGACCCTATCTTTGGGATCCAATGTGGAAGGAAAAACCAATCCCATTAATGCTATATTAGTCATGTATTATAGTTTAGACCTAAAATGTCCCCTATAAGTCTCATGTGTTCAGAAGTAGGGCTTTTGGAAGGTGGTTGGATCCTAGGGTGGTATGTTGATCAGTGGTTTAATCCATTGATGAGTTCATAGATGAATGTGCTATTATGTGGTGGGGCCTGAGCAGAAGATATGGTCATTAGGGATATAACCTGGAAGGTTGTATTCTTCTTTAGCTCCTCCCTTTACTCTCTGCTTCTAGCTGCCATGAAGTAAACAACTTTCTTCCACCATGATTCTTATACCTTGGAGTCAGTTGACCATGGACTGAACCCTCTGAAACTGTAAGCCAAAATAAGCCTCTCCTCTAACTTGCAAGTGTCAGGTTTTTTTGTCCTAGTGAGTGGAGAGTGACTAATACATCCTGCTGTTCTTTGTATGCAGTAATAACTTGTTTGTTTAAAGTTCTGAGCCACACCTGATGAAATGGATGAAATCCATTCTACTGTGGAATTCTTGCGTCCATTCTCTTGGTTCTCAGCAGAGTGAACACCCTCAGTCAAATCAGGCTACAAGACTATTGGATGGTGCCACTCACACCCAGTGTGTGTATTCCCTGTTCAGTGAGTCCATTATCCTCACCCAGAACTACGCTAAACCAACCAACTAGGTGTTTTTTGTGCAAGTTGACACCACAGTTAACTATGACAGAAAGGGAAGGAGAAAATTTGACCAGCAAATATAAAGTACTATTTAAATAAATGTTAACGTTCAAAACATTAAACAAATTTTTGTGATTTGCTTCTAAAGACGTTAAACTTTCTAAATATCTACTCCCAAATGTTCTGATTAGGTTACTATAATAGGTTTTTAAAGACAAAAAGTGACCCTAAGGGGATGATGGTTACAATGTGGTATGCACCTGACAGATTCAGTGTATTAAATATCAAAGCAGGTTATAAGCACAAGAAACAAGCCTTCAAGGCTTATAACCTGCTTTGATATTTAAATAGTACTTTATATTTACTGGTCAAATTGTCTCCTTCCCCTTCTGTCATAATTAACTGTGGTGTTGGTGTAGCATAGTTCTGGGTGTGAGTGGCACCAACTAATAGGCTTGAAGCTTGGATAGAATAAAAAGGGAAAGAAGGAAGTCTTGCTTCTGTTTCTTTGGAGTAGCTCCACTCTTTGCCATTGCCTTTGGACGTTGGTCTTCAGGCTTCCAGCACAGATTCTCCACCCTCACCGTGCAAACTCTTTAGCCTTCCAATGCAGCCCCTTTGGCTTCCTGATAGACTCACATGGGACTCTGGAGTGAGCTCCAGGCCTATGACTCTTACTTGGATCCTTTGGTTCTCCAGTGCATAGATGGTCCTTTTGCATTCTTTCACACCTGACTCTGAAGTCCATGGGTATATGTGTGTGTGTCATATATATTATATATGTTGTATAAATGTCATATATATATATCTTATATTAAATCTGTTCCTGTAGTGAACACTGACCAAAACACCTTCTTCCAAGTCTTGTCCCTAAATGTATCAAAAGACTATCATTATACATAATCCCTAGTTTTGTCAAATTCTTCACTTGAAACCTGAAAAGATGGCATAACTTTTTATAATAATTAATTTTGTTCTTTTAGAGTTGCATATTTTTATTGTACTCTCCTTCAAAATCCTTTTTAAATTTTATTTTACTACTACATTTTAGGTATACAATATAATGACATTCATCATTGGAAATTGGCACCTTTACATAATCTTTCTTGGCTCTTATTTTTCCCACTTCCCCTGCCCTCGCTTCAACCCCTCCATCCCTCCCTATTTACAAAGACTTTGCTTCCATTTTTTCATTTTCTCATATTAATTCCATTCCCTTCTTTCCTTTCCCCTACCCCTACCACTTCCCCTTTCCCCTTGCCCCTTTTCTTCCTATTTCACATTATCTATTATACCTTTTAGTCCTTATTCACACTTTCAGTTTCTCTCACTAGAGAAACGATTTGGTATTTACACATGTGTCCTGTTTATTTCACTTAAGAGTATCACCTCAGTGTGCATCCATTTAGATATAAATGTCTCTAATCTCTCTTTTTTATGGCTGAGTAGTACTCCATATAAAAGAGCCACATTTTCTTTATCCAGTCTCCAGTTGATGGGCATTGGGCTGTTTCCAAGTTTTAGCTATTACAAGTTGTGCTGCTATGAACATGGGTACACATATATCACTGTGGTATGATTCTTTCAATTCTTTTGGGAAAATACCCAGCAGGGGAATAGCTGGGCCAAATGGGACCTCCAGCCCTAGTTCTTTGAGGTATCTCCACACTGATTTCCACAGTGGTTGCACCAGTCTACACTGCCACCAGCAGTGGAGCAGAGTTCCTCTTTCTCTACAGCCCCACAAGCATTTGTTATTGGTTGATTTTGCGATAGCAGCCATTCTTTCTGGAGTAAGGTGGAATCTCAGCGTTGTTTTCATTTGTATCTCTCAAATGACCAGTGATGTTGAACACTTTTTCATATGTTTATTTGCTATTTCTACTTCTTTGTTTGAGAAATGTCTGTTCATTTCAGA